AGCATTACATCAAATGCATTCAACTGTTTAGGTTAATTAAGACGGCTTTTCTGGGTTGCTAAAATCCAAACTCAAGTCTTGGATAACCAGGCATTTTACTGGAACAAGCCTCCAGAATTAGCATTACATCAAATGCATTCAACTGTTTAGGTTAATTAAGACAGCTTTTCTGGGTTGCTAAAATCCAAACTCAAGTCTTGGATAACCAGGTTCTCCAGCAGATGATTCATCTAGGGATCTTTTTTTAGAAAGTACACGTCGCACACAATCATTTAGTGTTGAAATGTAATCACAATATGTTAATATATTCAAAAAGGGAAATTATTTGATGATAAAATGGGAGAAAACGACCACAACTGACAAACTATATTGTCCTGCAGTGGCAAATTTCAACTTACTTCACCACGTTTGTGAGGGTTTTTTATTATAGCGCCCCCTAGCACTGAAAAATTGCAACCAAAAGAGCTCTGCAATTGAGAGTTCACATCCAAGAAGCATTGCAAATTCAATTTGTTACAAAGATTATTGTAGTACATTTTACAAGAATGACATTTCATTTTTTTTCTACTTCAGAATTTCACATTTAATTCAATGTGTTACTTGCAGTTTCTTTGTAGTTGTTTGTGAAGTTAACTAGCGATTTCTGAGTGAATTTGTTTGTAGACCTATTTATTTATTTACTGCATACAAACAGGGTTGGGCAAAATTCAGAAGTGAAGAATTGGCTCCCTTTCATTTCAATTCAATTGAGTTGGAATTTGAATTTAATTGGCTAAAATAAATAAATAAACACAATTAGAATATACATTACCGTTCAAAAGTTTGGGGTTAGTAAGATTTTTTCTTGAAGTCTCTACTGCTCATCAAGGCTGCATTTATTTGATCAAAAATACAGTAAAAACTGTAATATTGTGCAATACAATAATATTAAAATAACTACATTGTAATACAGTGTAAAATGTAATTTATTCCTGTGATGACTGCCATTATTATCAACGTTGAAAACAGTTGTGCTGCTTCATATTTTTGTGAAACGGTGATACATTGTTTTACAAGATAGAATTAAAAAAATAATAGTAATAAATAAATAAACTTACTGACCCCAAACTTTTGAATGGTAATCATTCTGTCGACTCAACCAAGGTCTCCGGCTCAAATTTTTGATTTTGATATGTATTTCTTTCACCAGAAAAAAAAAAAAATTAAGCGAAGAAGAAAGCCAAAACATTAAATGTCATGGATGAATATTTACTGAGTGATGCACTCTTTTGTAGAGGGGGGTCAAAATGTCAATTTTCACCTGAGATTCAGAGCCAAATTACAGGGGTGTAAAAATGACTAGAATCTCAATACGGCTCCGGAAGTAAATTGTTAAATTGTACACATTTTCAGTGGTCTAAAACCAAATGTGGGTCACTTTGCATAAAGATGATGATTCTTTTCTTTTAAAGAGGAATGACTGAAGAACAAATAATGTTGAAACTAGTATTGTAGGTTGTTGCCCTCTATCAAAATAACTGTAGAACACACCTGTCTGAGTGCTAAATGCACTGAAACATTCATTACCTTAGTCTCAGTAGTCCATTCACAAGATTCTATATTTGTATATATCAGCTTCAGGAATATTTGAAAGAAAGGGTTTTGTTTATTTTAACAGCTTCTGAAGCTACCAATAGTTCAGATATGAAGATTTTATTTTTATTTTTTTTATTGTTATAACATGTGAAGCATAATCATAGATCAAGTAGTAGCCTATCTACTGCTATGTGGCATATTTGGCAGAATCACTGATAGTACCTCAAACTTAAAATATATCTTTAATACTTCAGAAAAATGTTTTTTTTTGGCATGTAGACGTATGTTCTGTGCAATTGTTTTGATAGAGAGCAACAAGCTACATTTCCTGTGTCAACATTACTTATACTTCAGACATTGTTCTGTAAATACAGTAAGTATCAGTTGTAAACAAAGTGGCCAACATTCGGCTTTCATCCATTGAAAATGGGTAATATTCAATTATTTGGACATGGAGTCACATTGAGATCCACATATCTCTGGGACTGAACCACACAGGGCCTTGAAACTGAAGATTACGAAAGAAAAGTTTATTAAACTGCCCCTATTATGCCATTTTGAATATTGCCTTTCATGCAGTGTGTAATGTAGCTGTATGTGAATGTAAATGATCTGCAAAGTTGTAAAGCCGAGTCTTAAGTCGTCAGTATCCCGTCGAATCCCACTTCCGTGATGGCTACACATCACAGGTAACACATTTGCATAATTCCCGCCTATATTCTACGTTGGCCAGCCGTAAACAACTTGACCCGACAGAATTACCTGTCCAGAATTACCAGAATTTTAAAAAAGTGTTCACATTCACATTCAATCTTTCACAGAATGAGTAGTTTCATTTTTTCCCCCTTTGTCTTTTGCAGATTTCATAAGCTTTTTTTGTTGGTTTTCTTTCTTTTTCAAATTTGGTTCATGGTTTATAATTCTGAATATATATTTTTAAATCCTTACTGGGAAAAGGAATGTAACAAATACTTGTGAAAAAGTGTGTGTTCTATGAGCCAATATGAAGGTGTGAATTCAGGTGAAGTGGGAGCCTTTATGCCACTCAGAAGACTGGGGGAAACAAATATCCCAATTAACCTTTATAGAGATGGATGTACTGGGTGGCACTATAATAAGCTAATTTACATTTTATATATGTGTGTTTGTGCACGCTTAAATAATGGGTCTGAATAGTTACTAACCCAACCAATCTCAGAGAGCGAGTGTTCATCATGACGCTCTGAAGCTGAACTCGTTGCGGTCCGTCTCTGCGCCCACTCAACACTGAACATAATTACACATTTACACAACGACCACGCAGCCCGTGACCTCGTCTCACATTACTGCAGGCTTATTTCACACAGAATAAGGTCAAGAAATAGACAGACAACCTTTACACAATGCTCCGTTTTCATTGCTTTCTCTCTTCTTTAAAGGCACAGTTCAGCCAAAAATGAAAATTACTCCACGATTTACTCAGCCTCGAGCCATTCTAGGTGTGTATGACTTTCTTCTTTCAGACGAATCCAATCAGAGTTATATTAAAAACTCTCCTGGCTCTTCCAAGCTTTATAATGGCAGTGAATGGGTGTTGAGATTTTGAAGCCCAATAAAGTGCGTGCATCCATCATTAAAAGTGCTCCTCATGGCTCCGGGGGTGAATAAAGGCCTCCTGAAGCGAATCGATGCGTTTGTGTAACATAGACGTATGTTCTGTGCAATTGTTTTGATAGAGAGCAACAAGCTACATTTCCTGTGTCAACATTACTTATACTTCAGACATTGTTCTGTAAATACAGTAAGTATCAGTTGTAAACAAAGTGGCCAACATTCGGCTTTCATCCATTGAAAATGGGTAATATTCAATTATTTGGACATGGAGTCACATTGAGATCCACATATCTCTGGGACTGAACCACACAGGGCCTTGAAACTGAAGATTACGAAAGAAAAGTTTATTAAACTGCCCCTATTATGCCATTTTGAATATTGCCTTTCATGCAGTGTGTAATGTAGCTGTATGTGAATGTAAATGATCTGCAAAGTTGTAAAGCCGAGTCTTAAGTCGTCAGTATCCCGTCGAATCCCACTTCCGTGATGGCTACACATCACAGGTAACACATTTGCATAATTCCCGCCTATATTCTACGTTGGCCAGCCGTAAACAACTTGAACCGACAGAATTACCTGTCCAGAATTACCAGAATTTTAAAAAAGTGTTCACATTCACATTCAATCTTTCACAGAATGAGTAGTTTCATTTTTTCCCCCTTTGTCTTTTGCAGATTTCATAAGCTTTTTTTGTTGGTTTTCTTTCTTTTTCAAATTTGGTTCATGGTTTATAATTCTGAATATATATTTTTAAATCCTTACTGGGAAAAGGAATGTAACAAATACTTGTGAAAAAGTGTGTGTTCTATGAGCCAATATGAACCAAACCCAAACTTCTCATTGGCTCATCATATCTGCCAAACCAATAAAGGTTCTGTCAGATCCATCATTAAAAGTGCTCCTCATGGCTCCGGGGGTGAATAAAGGCCTCCTGAAGCGAATCGATGCGTTTGTGTAACAAATATCCATATTTACATCTTTATAAACAGTAATCTCTAGCTTCCGCTGACTGTCGTTCACGAGAGAGAGACGTCCAGCGGATGATGTAGGACGCAGGCGTAGCGTGAGCTCTGGTGAGAAGTGACGAACGCTGAAGCGCAGCAGAGAAAGCAAAACAAAACAAAATTAGAAGCACAAAACAAGGATTTGTAAAGAAAAATGTGGGAGGATTTCGATATAAGCCGAGAGGAGACTGGTTGTCCTTCGCTGTAAACAAAACTTGGTTCTCGCGAGACTAGCATATTCTCACCGGAGCTCACGCTGCGCCTGCGTCATCCGCTGGACGTCTCTCTCTCGTGAACGCGCGTACCACAGTCACCGGATATATTATTGTTATAATATTATCACAACAAATACCAGAAAATATTGTGATATAGTTTTATGAGTTACCAGCAACACTTCAAAGTTCGAAAGTAGAACTTTGAACAAGTTTTACAATACAAATAAAATAGCTTAACTAGAATATGGAAATAACTTTTACCTTCAGATCACACTGCCCAAAAAAAAAACAAAAAAAAACCTGATGCTCTTCATCAGTATTTTTGTCTTGTTTGGCAGTGTAAGTGTCTAAAATGCAACTGAAATCACGATAGATGCAGAACTAGCATAAGTTACGTTTTCTGAGAAATTAAATGAAGTGAACTTATTTAAAAATAAGCGCGATATCTGCCAATGGGCTCAGAATAATCAACTTAAGACAGAATTTGAGAGGCTGAGACTGGGTTTTATATCAAAAGTAACAAAGCACAAAGTTTATTGTGATTACTGTATGGCGGGCACTATGAATAGGCCTAATGTTTAGTGTTTTATAAACACATCAACAGAACACAGACTGAAAGCAGATCTTGGGATAGATTAAAATCGAGAAATCAATGTTGTCAGGTCAGTTCTGAGCGCTAGGCTGTGAAGTCCAGCAGACTACTGCAATCTGACATACTTTACAGTACAACCTACCTGATGGCACTGGATCGCAGGTGGTTTCATTTCAAATGCTGTCGTTTCTTTGCAGATTTGAGAAGACTCGTACATCAGGTGAATGACAGGTTACAGTACAGCAGTTCAGAAAAAGCCCAGTTTATTGTGACATTCATAACACATTTTGCCTGAGGAAACGATATTTACCAGAGCAGGTCATTCATTCAGGTATAATGGATTCTTTCTTTTATCAAGACATTTACCAATGGAACGAAACGTTGACATACGAACAGTACATACTTGACAACCACACCATGTTGGAAGCTGGATACATTTACCTAAAGACACACGCAGACCGGCACATTCTGACATGAGCACGTGTTGCCATCCTCATGCAAAGACAAAGACAACACAGACGGGACGTGAACGAGTGAACCGCGTCACATGGGACAAACACTCCAGTGCGCGACAGACAATCGTATCGAGGCACTGCTGTTCACCAACAAGCATGCAGATGCAAGAAACACTGTTGATGTGAGACAAGATATAAACCAAAACAAAATCATATTTTAGCATAAAATATTATACAAAAGAAAACAGCAACATACTGATAAAGACTACAAGCTACGACGACCGAACTCAAGGTGGCATTCTTTGAAATTATAGGCTGAAGGTTGGGTTTTTTGCGTCCATGAGGAGGAAGAAATTGTTTTCTTCATTTTAAAGGGTCCATCCAGAGCGATGTAACTGCACCAGCATGTAAAAGCATGTAAAGCTCCTAAAAAGGAGTAAAAGTCTATGCTTCCAGACGCACAGGTCAAAGTTCAAAAGCAGGGAAGCAGGAACCCTCAGGCTGGATGACATCTGAGAGATAATGGATGGCTCCTGCCATACCTACAACAACAATCTGGTTAGGTTTGATTTTCATATCACAATATTATCAGATTTCAGTTTGGAGAAATGTAGCATTGCATCAGTGTCTCAGCAATGGATGCTCTGCAGTGAATGGGTGCCGTCAGAATGAGACGGATGACCTGAGGGTGAGAACATTCTAATTTTTGCGTGAACATATCATTTCAAATCCAAAAGCCCAACTGAATTAGAATGAAAAATAGCTGCATTATGCTGCTTAATATGCGGCAGTTTGTTTGTGAAGTCATGTTGGGCTGAGGAGGGTAATGCAGGACCATCTCTGACCACTAACTACAGAAAAGTGGCGGGAGACTCGATCAATCAGAGTGTGACTTTTAATGAGAATCTGAGTGTAGGAAGTGGGTTGCCATGACAACAGCAAGGTAAAGCAGCAGATAAATCACTATAGATGCCGAGTGTTTATGGTTGTCGGTGAATGTGGACTCCTATTGAGGACAGAAGACGGTGGAGAATATTATAAGGACAGAGGACAGCATTTATTATTTCAAATAAATGCTGTTCTTCTGAACTTTCTATTTTATCTATGAATCCAGGAAAAATAAAATTCATCACAGTTTCCACAAAAATATTGTGCAGCACAACTGTTTTCAACATTGATAATAATCAGAAATTCCCCACAGAGAATGACAGAAACTGATTATGTCTAATGAAAAAAGGGGCAGAGATCTTTAATGATGAGAACTGGCTGGAAACCACTATTTGAGGATATTTGATCAGTGAGACATGATGATCAATTTACCTTCAAAAAGGGAATAAGGCCGGTCAGGAATACGGCAGCCGTGGGTCCCGTAGTCTAGACACCATTCAGCAAACTAGAAACAAATTTAAAAATTATTAAAAACAGAAAATCATCATTTGGAACACAAAGTACAAGCTTGAAGTGTGGAAAGTGTCCTGATCTGCCTGTCCGTGCAAATCCATAAAGCATTATCATCTCAAGAGAAAATAAAAAGACGAGTGATGAGCATGAATCAATTGTTTTGATGGGGCAATTTTTGCTTCACTTTTTCATAAAAGCATCAGAAACCTTTTCACTCAAGCTGCTGCACAAAGGCACGAGAGAGAGAGAGAGAGAGAGAGAGAGAGAGAGAGAGAGAGAGAGGGAGGCCGCTTCAGTCGCGAGGCGCTGCTTAATTTGGGCTGGAAAATGACTGCGGCTGTAAAAGCTTAGCTTGAAAACATGAGAACAGCCGAGACTATTATGCTTTCATTACTCCAGCAGTAAGTTAGATTTAATGTTTCTGAATGAAGTCTCTTCTGTTCACCAAGGCTGTGTTTATTTGATCAAAAATACAGTAAAACAGTGAAATATTATTACAGTTTCAAACAGCTGTTTTCTATGTGAATCTCTGTTAAACTGTAATGTATTTCTGTGATGCGCAGCTGTATTTTCAGCATCATTACTCCAGGTTACCAGACTCTAAATTTCATAATTTATCATCAGATTGATTAAAATAATCAATCAGTATGTGATACAAGCCCTGGATCAGACGTCAAATGTGCTGTTTACCTATAAAGGCTCACACAGAGCTGTGGTCAGGTGACTTGCTTTGTTTCCATGACGTCAGGTTTAATAACACGCCTCATTGGCTGTGAGCGGCGTGTGGCGTCTGTGTGTTCAGAGATGATGAACACTTCACTAACCGCACACAATCACCTGTACAAGCGGCTGTGCTGTTTGTGCTTCAGAGGAGAGAGGAAAGTGTTAGCGCTGTACCTTGCAGGCACGATACAGGTATTTCTTGTCCTGTGTGGCGTGGTAGAGCGAGAGCAAGGCGTATCCGTTCCCAGCCGTGCCGTGACAGAGTCCATAACCCTTCCTCAGTAAACCCCTCTGCCAGATCACCTCTCCACACTCAGCCGCGTCTCGCAGGTACTTCTCATCCTTGAAGACCTGAAACAACACACACGCATTGAGCTCCTACAGTTTCTGCTGCACTCATTTGATTTCCTCTCAGAATCAATGACAAATCAGACTTATTAAGCTTTAATTATAGCAATTACATCCTTACGGTCAAATGCAATAATTGCAGACTGTGCCCTGCTATGTATATTTACTGTCATAATGCTTTTGTGTGTGTGTGTGTGTGTGTGTGTGAGTGAGTGTGAGTGAGTGAGAAAGCAGGTCCTGCCGTCTGTCTTCATCTGTCAGAGCTCTGGTGTAAAAGTTGCTGGAGGAAAAATTCACTTTCCAAATATAACACATGCTCACATAACACATGCTTCCAGTCCTCAGGCGACCCACAAGTCAGAGATAAAGACACAGACGGACACAAAATGAGAAAGAGAGAGAAACACGACCCATATGTTCATTCTACAGTGATGGAGAGAGAAAATAAACTCATTAAAAGTGCAGACTCTTTCACACAATAAAACTCTTTTTTCTGATTCTACCTAACCCTAACCCTAACTACACATTTAAATGTGTGAACAAAGTCAAGTCAAACTTTTATGTGCAAGAGCAACATTTTTAAATATCACTAAGATGCCTGATAAAAAATTATAAAAAAAAAAAAAAAGGTTATTATGTTTTAAAAATGTGACTCTGTAAGTGAGCACTAGATGTCACTGTGGGCTGCTGTATGAAGAAATAAACTCACACATGACCTTAAGAATGAGAGGCAGACAGACAGCGAGACAAATGCATGCCATTTATTCCCGTTTCACTTCAATGGCAGATATCAGTCTCTCCACAAAGAGAACGAGCTGTTTTTTCCACATCATAAAGGAACATAACAGGATATTGTATTTATGAAAAACAAAGCCCATGTATAATAATGCATGAGTGCAATATCTGCTGTAAATCTTGATGTGGTGTGATCATGCTATATACATTTCTATAAATGAATGTAAACTATGAGTATATTCATATACTCTTGCATGTGTACTGAGATGATGACGGTTTGTGTGTGTGTGTGTGTGTGTGTGTGTGTGTGTGTGTGTGTGTGTGTGTGAGAGAGAGAGAGAGAGTCACTCACTTTATGAGTCATGATGAGCATATGCAGCACTCCAGGAGCTCCGTGACACCAGTGCACCAGTCTGTCCGTCTCGTTGCTGAGGGATGATGGGTAATTGCCCGACCGGAACTTCTTGTGCCGCACGTAATCCACACTGGGCCGAACCAGCTCATTCAGAGTGTCCTGACTGACTTTAGCACTCGGCTGTGAAGAAAGACAAAGTTAGACTGAAAATTTAGTTTAAAACGTACTAAAAAACAAAAAAAAACTAACAAAATAAAACTTTTTTTTTTGTCTAGATTGAAGAATTGAATAAATTATATAAAAACAGTATGAATAGCCTTCTTTTCTGAATTAAATTTCATTTTGATATTTTGGGGGGGGCATAAAGTCAAAAATATCTAAGTGAAACTGTCCTGATATCATATAAGAAAAAAGCCTCATTAAAAGATTGAAATTAATGAAAAGAAAATTGTATTACTCCAAGTACCTTTGCACAATATTGTATTATTATTTCTTATAAAGAAAAAGCAATAAAGCAGTTTTGTTACATTTATTTATTTAAAATCAAATATTTGAAAATGTTTTACCATATGGCGCAAACAAGAAAGGTATGTGGTGCAACTGACATTTAGAAAATATTAAAATATCAAATAATTTGACCTTATGTCATGTTGTAAAATGTCATGTGGAGTGACTTCTCAAAAGCATAATGACATTTATGAATGAATAAAATATGTTAAAACCATATGAAAGCAACATGAATATGCATTTGCAAGAACTTCTCTTCTTAGGATTTTATCTAGGATTTTTTTTTCTATGGCACAGATGTTTTTGCAAACAGCGTGTGTATTTTAATGGCACAGATTTCTGAAAAATGAAATGATATCTGGAGTGTTCAGCACAGCAGCATCAAGCCTGTAGCTACAGATTTCTTATAAAGAAAAAGCAATAAAGCAGTTTTGTTACATTTATTTATTTAAAATCAAATATTTGAAAATGTTTTACCATATGGCGCAAACAAGAAAGGTATGTGGTGCAACTGACATTTAAAAAATATTAAAATATCAAATAATTTGACCTTATGTCATGTTGTAAAATGTCATGTTGAGTGACTTCTCAAAAGCATAATGACATTTATGAATGAATAAAATATGTTAAAACCATATGAAAGCAACATGAATATGCATTTGCAAGAACTTCTCTTCTTAGGATTTTATCTAGGATTTTTTTTTCTATGGCACAGATGTTTTTGCAAACAGCGTGTGTATTTTAATGGCACAGATTTCTGAAAAATGAAATGATATCTGGAGTGTTCAGCACAGCAGCATCAAGCCTGTAGCTACAGATGCATTAAATGGTTCATTTCTGTTAAGACCCACATACATCGATATGTATGTAATATTTCTCATTCATAGTGTCCACTTACAGCAGTTAAAGAGCGCAGTTCTGTGTCAGAGTGAATTTAAGGACGTGAGGCTTGATAAAGCACTGAAGGCTCCCACTGAGCTACAAGAGCTGCTGCTGTCCGAGTTATTAAAGACTAAAGGAACGCTTCACACAGATCCTCTAACACTGCTGCTGCTACTAACTGGAGTTCATTTCTGCAGGAAAATGCCCTTTAATAAAAGCACAGCTGGATCTGTTGCTGTCACTGATATTACACTCGTTTGCAGCACCACAGGTTGCTTTTACAGTTTCAGCAAAGCAAACGAACGCAGCACCATCACGGCGACACAAATATTGACATGCTGCGGTGTGAGAGCGGCGACGCTGGACGCTGGACGCGGAAACACACGTCCATCTGCGTCACCATGACGCACGCTCCCATTGCCTTGCCAACCACTAGCACGCCACACCCAATCAGCTTGCTGCTCCTCCCGCCAGCAGCTGCAGCAAACTTCACAGCTGTTTCCCATTTGAGTTAACACACAACACTGAGACTGAGCTCATCTCTACTGCTTCATGCTGCTCTTATTTTAATATTAGTGTTACCTGCTCACCAGCTGTTCAGACAGGCAGCACGAATGATACCGCCTGTCTGATGTTCAATTATACTGTCAATGTACTAGCTTAGCATTCCGCTAATCAATTAACGCTAGCCAGTTAATCTGCTTTCTTAGCCTATACCCAAAGTGTTCTATTTTAGCATTCTGCTAGCCGATTAATCTGCTATCTTAGACTATACCTAACACAAATGTTCAATTATACCATTCAGTGTTCTATTTTAGCATTCCGCTAGCCGGTTAATCTGGTATCTTAGACTATACCCAACGCAAAAGTTCAATTATACTATTCAACATACTATCTTAGCATTCCGTTAGCCGATTAATCTGCTAGCTTAGCCTATACCTAACACGAATGTTCAATTATACTACTCAACATACTACCTTAGCATTCCGTTAGCCGATTAATCTGCTAGCTTAGCTTATACCTAACACGAATGTTCAATTATACTACTCAACATACTATCTTAGCATTCTGCTAGCCGGTTAATCTGTTAGCTTAGCCTATTCCCGACACAAATGGGTTTTTTTTATACTGCTCAGCATACTATCTTAACATTCCGCTAGCCAATTAACCTGCTAGATAAGCGTGGACTCCACGCAAAAATTAAATTATACTACTCAGCATTCGAGCTTAGCATTCTGCTACCTGGTTAGTCTGTTAAATTAATCTATACTTGATGCTAAAGTTCAGTTATACTTCTTTTATACGCCTTGTGTTTTTGTTTACGAATGGCCTACGCGACTCAGCTCAACAGTTCCAATGACACCAGTCAGCAGCAAGCACATTTTCTTCAGTAAATTTTAGAAGTGTTTTGCCACCCTGTTGCAGTTCAGACAGCCTAACACTGCATTTGCTGGGAGCCTAAAAGGTTCCTTCTTCCAGTGCATGTGGAGATGACAGATTTCCGAACAGAGGCTTCATGTCGCCAGAGGCTGGAGAAGAGAGGACGGACAAAGAGGAAAAAGGATGCCTCCCTTCTCACACAGCACTGAATTACAGCACAAAGAAAACTCTCCCAATGCACCAAAACAACCCTCCCTCTCAGAGAACGATCTGCTATTCCTGTTGTTTCGCGATGTTTAATGTAAGCACTGAACTAGTTATAACCCTGCCGCACTTCACCGCCGTGAAGCTCTATTGCCTCAAATTACATCACAATCCTCCGGGGTTTGATTCTAAACAGCCAGCTGTCATTCAGAAACCACCACGCTACATCTCTGTTAGTGCCGCTGCCATAGAGCAGAGTAGATCATTTACTACTGCCGCGTGCGCTACTGCACGGGATGAAAAATGAGGCATTTTAGTGCTTTTCGCCTCCGCTTTTCACTGTATAGCCTGGAAATGGTCCATAAAGATGTAGCTTACATAGGAGCCGCCTGCATATGGGGTCTTATAAGGCTTCAGGGAAACCCATTAGAGGAGGCAGCGGTAGCAAGAGGATTAAACTTCATAGGAAGCTGTAAAGACGTATGCTAATGCAACCAGATGACGTTGCATTCTGGGATGCTTTTTGAAGGAGCATTGACAGGGTTCTCAGGTATGCCAGGCTACATTTTAAGTGTGTCCAAACATCTAAATATCAATGCAATTGCTCTGGAATAGCTTCAAAACGGTGATTTTTTTCACTCAGAGGAGCCATAATTTGGAGCAAACATCTACTGCAGCCAAGTAGATTTGAATATTGACACAGACAGTTCAAAATAACTCCCTCACGGAAAGAGAAGCTTCAAAACGGTGATTTTTTTCACTCAGAGGAGCCATAATTTGGAGCAAACATCTACTGCAGCCAAGTAGATTTGAAATATTGACACAGACAGTTCAAAATAACTCCCTCACGGAAAGAGAATAAAGACGCACCGATATTAAAATCCTGACCAATATCAACAAGCTGAAAATTATTGTCATGCTATGAACATTAACCAACAAATGTCTGATATTAGAATTCTATACTATTTTTTACTATTCTATTCTATATGCTATTACTATTTAAAATAAAACATTAAAAGCTAAACCGAATCATTTTAAATGCTAAGTGAATTTAGGCTTTACAACATTATAATGTACAGTAAAAAAATCTGATTTTACGATTTACTAAAGATTTCATTTAATAGTGTTATTAAACTATTTGTGTTTTTAAATATTAACTGACCATAAGTGACCATGAGATGATCGCAATAGATGATGAAATGGGGAAATGAGCATGCACTTTATTAAACATCCAGATTAACTACTAATTTAAATAAAAAATTTAATTCTTATATATCATTCTGTCACCATTTTCCGTGGTGTACCTCAAGGATCCATTCTTGGTCAACTTTTATTTATAATCTTGCTTCCTCTTGGTCAGATCATTCAGCGTCATGGTCTGAACTTCCATAGCTTCGCTGATGATACACAAATCTATCTTACTCTCCAGCCCAATTCTGTTTTCCTCCCCCTTCCATCACTTCCTGTCTACAAGATCGCAATGCATGGATGGCTGAAAACTTCTTAAAACTGAATACAGACAAAACAGAAATCATGTTAGTAGGTTTTAAATCCCTAAATCTCCTCCCAACATGACATCTCCATTCATACTGACGGAGTTACAGAAAATTACCCATTATACAGAATATTATTTGATTCTAAAATACGTTTTGAACCTCATATCAGCCAGCTTGTTAAACTCTGTTTTTTCCACCTTCGCAACATCGTTTCATATACAACCTTCACTAAATAAATCTCAAAGATGCCGAAACTGTTATTCGTGCTTACATAACCATAACCATCATCACCATCTGACTGCCTGTTCACTTTGTTGTTTCTAGATTGTATACCTGTATTATTTGTGTTATTTGGCAATATTATGTCAAATGTTCTTGGGTTCTTGAAAGGCACTATATATAAATACATTATTATTATTATTATATCATGCTTCCCTAAAAAGAACAGACTTAAAGACAATTTGTGCTTGTAAAAAGCTTTCGGAACACTGGAAGCACATTAAAATTATGTGATTTCATAAGGTCGCTTAATTTAACATCAACACAAGCTTCACAGATATAGAATTTAGAAATAAAGGAATCACTACTGTCAGATCACCAAGTAGTACAAACTTTCTACTGTCATTTATTCTATAGTACGATTCTTTGATGAATAGAAAGTTCAAAAGAACATTTATTTGAAATAGAAATCTTATTATAAATGTCTTTACT